ATTTGCCTCCATTGCCTTTATTACTGTTGATTATAAGCACTTCATGTACCTATAAGTCGATTTAATCAATATCATAACTTTTTATACTTTCACATTTTTATTACTCTCAACCTACAAATTGCTACTCGCGGTATCTCCTCTACACAAAACAATGACGTAACGTTATCTGCTGTGCACTGAAGCTGGTTAAGAACATTGTGCCTCGTTTCAAATTGTCTTTCAACTTCATATCACACAGACAGAACTTCGAAAACGAGGCCACTGAGAGGGAGACTGTTGGTTACATTTCGATACGAGCGTTCGATTGCAAGCTATGGTTAGTTCTTTGCTTCTATGAAAGTGGGTGAAAACAGTGAGTTTATTTGATATTTTGCTGAAATCGCTTGTGAACATAGACAAAATAAAAGGTGAAAATAGGCTGTAAAAACAGCCAGCCCGTCGGGCGGGTAATCTGCAAATCTTACCCGCCCGGCCTGAAAGTTACCAGCCTCGGGCTGGCGGGCAGGCGGCCATTTCATACACTGTTTCTGGGCAGGAAACATTCCCCAACTTACAATGAATTGTAGTGCTATCTGAAATGCAAATTAAAAATCTGCCAACTGGCTTATACGATAGCACTGCCATTTAGAGAGCTACCAAAAAAGGAGACTAATCCGCTCCTTTTTACGAAGACATAGGTCTACTTTTACAAGTTCAGCATCATAAATCACTTCTTTATATATTAATTTTATAGTGTTCTTAGCCTTACTCTATGCCAGAATACATTTTAATGTACATGGGGAAGATATCAACCAAATCAAAATGTTGAACAAAATCAAGAATGGATTTGGTGAACATGGCAAAATATTGTTAAAATATATTACATTTTCTTTCACTTAAGAAAGTGTTTAACACATGGCTATAGAATAAAATAAATAATACACTTACAGGCATAGAGGTATGGAGGCAACGTTCAATTTTTCTTTAATATTTTCTGAACTACTATTTTATAGGAAACAACTAAGATGCTCAAGTAGAAATCCAGGCTGTACCTGTCAGGCTGGACTCAGCAAGCAGTGTTCATTGTGTACTAGTAATCTGGTAGACAGCCGACAGCTGAGAATGGATTTCCACGCTGCCATGGAGACCTTGGCTGAGGCTTGGGTGGCTGCCAATACACAGACAGCGCTCACTGCAGAACATCAGGTACGGTATGGTATTGTGTGTGCATTATAACTGTATCACACCTAACACACTGTCAGACCTATCACATTACTAAGACACAGCTCTCACTGCAGAACACCAGGTATGGTATTTATAGCTCTCACTGCAGAACACCCTGTGCGGTATGATACAGCATTGTGTGTGCATTATAACTGTATCATGCCTAACACACTGTCAGGCCTATAAAAATGCTAATACACAGTCAGCTACCACTGAAATTATCTTAGACCTGCAAAATAGATCGCCCAGCACATTCCCCCAGACCGTCTTCCAGGCGAATGCAGTCTACCCATTTCTAACAGGACATGGCGTATATATTTGTAATATTGTCTGTCCATTTAGTGGTCATCTCACCCTTGCTTTCTGGAATATAGATATTGTCTGTCCATTCTGTGGCCTGACACTAAATTCTATGACTGGGTTCCCATACTGAGATCGACCTAACTCCATAGGGGTTCACGCTAAATTGCTATCAGCTCAAGAGGCTTAAATGTCTGTCACACCTACCGAACCAGCTAGGGGTAAAGATAATTACCCCCTAACAGTTTTACTAGGCTGGACAGACGTTTAAGCCGGTTAGTTTGATAGCAAGTTAGTGAGACTCCCCAGGGAGATAGATTGATCCAAATATCTGTGGGAATGGTCCCTATGTCCATCTCATCATTGTTATCAAGTATATTTTATATATTTCATGGGTGATTTTATCTATCCATTCCAGGGCCCCAGACCCAGTGTGAATAACCTGCCCACCATGTTGCCCAGGGAACAGTTTCAGTGGGGACAGCAGCCTTCACCAGAGAGAGCAGTAGCCCAGCCCAGTACTTCCTCTGGGGGTAAGAGAGAGAGAGAGAGAGAGAGAATAGATGATTAAAAATTATGCATAAATGAATAAATGTGTACATGAATAAAATATGTATATTTTTCAATGATTGTATCTTCAAGAATATGTGATTGTAATAAATGTATGAATAGAGATGTAAATCTGCCTTATTTATCCAACAAAATGGATATTTGGCTGTTGTATTTATGCCCATTGGACCTCCAATGTAAAGTTGTGTTCCATTAGTGCTTGCATTTTGAGGATTTTTAATAGCCCACTTTCATTTTTTGTAAAAAGAAAGAGAAATGAATGATTGAATGAACTTTGTGGAGTTTTTAAGGCACACTTTCATCTTTGGTATGAATGAAAAGGTGGATGGATGGAAGATGTATTTAACATGTATGCATATAAAACATACTCAGACAATTAAAATAAAAAGCTATTAAAAGCATCAATTCCTGCCAATCCTTTGAAGGAATAAAAAAAAAGTTTTCGCAGTAGTTCACAAATTTTTATAAAAGAGTTGATATGATCCAAATGTAGCTTATAAACATTAAAAAAAATCAAAATTTTATGTGTACTGATATTAACTATAGTAAAGGGAGCTGACAGATGTATTACTGAGATCAAAATTAAATGTTTCTAAAAGCTTTCTTTTTTCTGTGTAAACTCTGTGTCAAGTTATTTATTAAGATTATCAATAACAGTCTTTTAAAATCTAAAAAAAGAGAAACAATGTCTCACTTCAATTCTTTAAAGAAAAAAATCTCACCAGATTCAGTTATTCATAATCTTTTTCCACCAGATAGATATATTTAGAGCCCAGTTCTAATCTGAGCTTAAGCTAAGTCTCTGGGACACGGTCATACCCTTGATATTAATCTGACATTTGCGTCACTCCTTGGGATTTGTTTAATCCTACATCAAGTTAACGCTTGGATTATGACTGAAATTACGGGTTGGATTTTTATAGGAAAAAAAAAAATATATATATATATATGAACACATATAGGATAGATATGCTATTTCAGGTAGGAGGAAATCTAGTGTTTAGTTAATCCATGTGGAATATTTTTTATTACTTTAAAGGATTTTGTGTGTTTCTCTTGGATTTGGAACTGGAAGAAGCAGTTTGGACAGAGGCGGTTTATCATTATTTTTTTAAAAAAATTTATGTAAATTGAGCATAAATCATACAGTTTGCGTTGTTTTGGCTTTCTACTCTGGTTGATATATAAAAATGTAATTGCTAATGATAATACCGTTCACACAAAAGAGATTTCAGGTACTCGTTAACTTTGACTGGGTTCCCATCCCTAGATCGTTCTAACGGGATCGGTCCATCTCCATGGGATCTCACGCTAAATTGCTTTCAGCTCAAGTGGCGTAGACGACTGGGATGCCTACTAAAGCTGCCAAACGATAGTTAATTACCCCCTATCAGTTTCAGTAGGTGGGACAGACATCTATGCCACCCAAGTTAATTGCAATTAATAGAGAATCCCCTCGGAAATAGTTTGATCCAAAATTAGTATGACCGTCTCTGGGAATGGTCCCTTTGTGTTAGTCCAGTGCTGGTGTGACAATTGATATGATGAACTCGTATAAATTAGTTCGCTCTCTTCTTTCTTTTAGTGTAATATGTGTAAACCATAATAATAAAAGTGCAATCATACTGAAAGTGTGGTGAACAGCAGAATTTGCTCTGTACCCTGCTGAAATGATCCAGTTAAGTACAATGGCACTTGGTTGCCGAACCCTGGCATTCAGTTAAAGTTGGGTCAGTAACTATTGTGTAAACACTCCTTTTTCCTTATATGATTGGAAAAGAAAGTAAATCCCCTGAATCCTTCATGATATCTTCAGATCCTCTTGTAGTCACAGGTAATGGCTTTCAGACAAGTCCATAATCCTGAAATTAAACAGACGTGTACCATATCTTTATGGTTAATCATAGCTGAACCAGACAAATGGCAGGATGTGTTTTCCAACATAATCCTGCCAGATTTTGCTCTTTTTGAATTCATTTAAACACCATATCCGTCTTATCTGGAGCTTTGTGTAGTTCCACTAATAAATGTTTTGGATGGGACCTAATCTTTTTGAACAAACAGTGAAGTGGTGACCTTGAATATTTAGACTGGAAGGAAGAAATGTTTGAATCAAAGTTTTATTATTTTTAATTTAATATCCTAAAATTGATAATCCTTTATGTGTACATGTTTTTTTTTTTTTTGTGTTTGTGAGGAGATTACTGCATATCAGTAGATCTATGTATATATGGGAGTATTATTATTTGCACAATTGACTTTTATATATGTATGTATGTATATATAATATAAAAATACATATGCCAAAATATTCTTTTGTTGACTCTCCAACATACATGTATTATAACAGCTTCAAACAATTTGTGCACACACATAAACAGATATACACATAAGCATGTGCATTTGCAGGTGCACTCCTATTCACATATATATGCATTTGTGGTTACACTCACACACTCACACACACACACACACACACACACACACACACACACACACACACACACACACACACACACACGGTGAGAACTGTAAGTCAAGGTAAAGAATAAGGATTAGGGATTAGCAGCCAATCCTAAATCAATAGTTGATCCAGGGGATTAACAGGGCAGAGGAAGTTAATCCCCTGTCCAGGATGAGATGGCTTAGGCAGGATTTCAGTTGACAGCAGGTGTAAAGATGGGAGACGGAGGGAGGGGGGTGAGGGGTGCGTTTAGGACAGGTTTTGACATATTCTGATTCAGTGCTTTAGGACTCTTGGCTTTGTGTCTTTGTGATATGTTCATTGTGTTATTGGTTATTCGTCCAGTCCTGTGCGCTTGTGCTGACCATTAAATTAAATTTAAGTCAGGGATATTAGTCCTGTACGTTTGAACTAAAACATTTTTTTACTGACCCCATTGTGAATGCACCCTCATGTTGGTACAGTAATACGCTTTAAACGTTTACAGTACTTATATTATGTGGAAGCACAAAGTGTGCAGGTGAAAACAGTTGGAGGAGCGCATTGGAAAGTTGGAATTCATATTTGAAATGGTGTGAATTTTATTGAAGATTCTTTACTAGTGCTGACTTCTGACAGGACAGGAAACAGTTTGCAACAAGAGCTGGTATTTTGTAATAGCTAACACTTTTAGTATATGTATGCAGATAGGTATTGGGGCATATCACAAATCTGGATGACTTTTAATGAAGAAAAACTGCTTGAATGGAAAATAAGATTCTTACTGACAGCTAACTTGGAAAAGTTCAGATCAAGATTTTTTTTTATTATGAACTTTTTATGAAGCAATTCACACTAATAGGGGACAGGGATTAAAATGACTAATCCTAAAAAGAAATCATTTGTGATTTGTAATTAATTACTTGGACCTTATTACTGAGGGTTAATGAACAGTGTACCACACTTTTGGCATTGCCATAAACATCGTTGACGGTCCAGTTTGATTGGATTAACTCGCCTGCCTGTCTGCTATATAGGATATTGAAAATGGACATGGGCACACAAGCAGAAAAAAGCTGATTACAAATCTAAAAAGATCAGAGAAGTTTGGACTTGTTTTGTTGGCAAGAAGGAGTATGTTTTTTGATTGGAATAGTTTTGCTCAAAAAATGTGAATTCTGTTGTACTGGAGCCAGTGCTAGGAACAGAAAAAAAATAAAAAAAAATTGGAATAAGTTTGACTTTGTAATCAGCAATAATTGAACATGATGGCAATGGAGGATGACTGATCCTTTTTTGTGGAGCAATTATGTCTTTTCTTGAAGAAGGGTCCTTCACCGGAGGAATTCTTATAGTCTACCTCAGTGGGACATACTGTTGTATTGGATACATTTATGAAAGGGGACAAATTATTGGATGAGAGTAACTTTTGATAAATAAAAAGCATCACTAGGAAGGATATTTGTATTTGAAAGAAAACAAGGATGAATCACTTTGCATGAGGATCATTTAAGAACAGATTTGCCTCAAGGACGCACCGGTTACATATTTCTGAACTCTGACAAACTTTTCTCCACGACAAAAATTTTTACTTCTTGCAGATGTACCTTTCAGCATACCGACAAAATTCAGTTTCCACATAGAAGGCAGGCATTAGGAGGAGAAATACTTCAGTTTCTGTCAAAGTATAAAAAAGTATTACTTAAAAAGTGTTTGTGATGGGGAAAGCATCAGGTTTGTAAGGCACACACTAACAAACTCAGTTAAATATTGAGACTTGTTCACATGATTATAAAGTTAGTTCAGAAAAAGACTTATTAATACTATCAGTTAACCAAGTGATATGGTCCACCACGCCCCCCCCCCTTCCTCTTACTTCACTTCCCTCCCTTCACATTTACCTCAGATTTAAAAAATCCACGTTAAATAACCTTATATCACTAAGTCTTTTCTCAGACTAAGTTAATCTCAGGGGCATAACCAGGCATACGCACAGACGCACTGTGTATACAATTCTTTTAGCCAACCATGATATTATTCTCCATAAATTCAGTGTATTTTAACAAAATATAATCGTACCTGGGAATTTTCAAAATCTGTGCGTACAATTTTAAAATGTCTGGTCACGCCCCTGAATCTTAATGTGAACTCATTTTTTTTTTTTTTTTTTCATTCTGAAATTCTGTTTCTTTGGTAAGTTGTGAGCAAGGTAGAGATGGTGATTCATTTTAGTTTCTTGTAGACTGTGCAGGACCGTAGTGGGGGGTGGGGCTTCCAGGGATTCAAATGAACTAGCCCTTTTTGCCAGGAAAAGGTCCTTTCTGGTAAGGATTTTATCTAGGTTCACAACGATTTCATGGTAAAGGCCCACTTTTTCATAAAAACAACCCCCCTTTTGAAATTGCTGGCTATACGCAGTGTTTAAGGGGCTTTGTCTCTGTAAAAAGATTTATATACATGTTTATACTGAAGTACAATTAACACTTTAATCCATGCCATGCTCAAAGTCATTGCCTTTCTTTGTTTGTAGTGAAAGAAAAAAAATTAATGTCAAGTAAAGAAGAAAGGTGCTTATGTATTTCATTTGCATAGGATTATATATTTCATAGAGAGAGTCATTTGTAACCCTTCTTGGCTTTGAGGTTGAAAGTTTTTCTTGAAACTGACCTCTGTGTGATTCATTGTCATGTCTTCACTGTTTCCATTAAGTTAAGCTGGCAACTCTTTGAAAATATCCTGCATAAAGTCATCGAGCACCTCGAGCTTACATGTTGTGTGTTACGTAATGAGAAGGAACTGGGTCCGCCATTGTTTTTGGGGTTGGTGTAATCTGGATGGAGGATTAAGTATCTGACAGCTGTGTTACAGGCGACATGCCCAGGCTAATCTGGACATTTCCTGCATCGTCTTAACTCATCCGCGGTGCCTAAGGCCGCATTCAGAACAGCGGACTAACTAGCCCGAGGGTCAAATACGGCCGACCCACTTGAATTCTTCCCTACAGGGAATCTATTCAGTGTCTCGTAGCAAATTAGACAGAAAGCTTTGTAGTGGGTCGCCATATTTAACCCTCGGACTAGTTAGTCCACTGTTTTGTATGAGCCCTAAGACCTCATTCCCATAGAAAACATCAGTCTACATGGATTGACCCAATGCTGCAGGAATTCTCGCAGATTGCAATCATGTTAACAGATTAACATGCATCGCCCTGGTGTTAAATAGAATACAGAGAAACTGGTGATTATACAGGTACATTGGAAACAAATGAGGCGTGTCATTCAATTAAGCTGATTGCACTTGAGAGCCCCGGCACAGTTACGTTGATCTACGAAGACTGATGGTGTGTCTTTGAGAATGGGGTTTAAAGTTCTTTTGCTTCAAGGTTGAAATGTACAGACTGAGTACGTACTAGTATGTGTGAGGTAATTGGGATAAAGGACAGAGGATAAAATACCTGACAACTTCTTTACCTGGTACTACAAGGCCAGTAAAGTAGTTTCTTTTGCCATTTCAAGGTTGAAATGCACAGGCAGCGCACAAACATATACAATGTGCGTGTATACACATTCATATATCAGGGATGAGATTTTTCTGACTTTTGGCAGATTTCTTACTTTTTGGGAGCCAAAAATAAAGAAAAATTAAAATAAAAAATGAAAATAAAATAAGGAGATTTCTGGCTTTTTGAAAGTCAATATTACCATTAGCCTGGACATCCCCTGGCCCCCATGCCATATTTTTCTAGCCTTTTCGCTAAATGGCAGCATTATCTTGGTATATTCAAAAACACCTTGCAAAGTTTGGTATAGTGGGACACATCCCCCTCCCCTCCCTCCCCCCGTCCTGCCAGCAGATGGTGCCACTGGTCAAGATACACTCACCACCACAACTGAACAAGATATTTGCACATGTCCTGTAAATACACTGTCTGTTCATTCCATTCCAGTCAAATCCCTCCCTATTCACTGTGTGGTAGAGCACATCCAGAGCCCGGTGCCACCAGACGGCGCTGCTGCCCAAGACGCACCTGACACCACCATTGAACAAGATGGATATGCCATCCTGGCCAGTAACACTCCCTTCCATGACATTGTGGTGACGGCGCTGCTCAAACTGGGCTACAATTCACTGGATGCAATGTCTGCTAAAGGTGGGTAGAGACAGCGGATCACTGGCACCTACTAGTAGAGGTGGTCCGACATTTATTTATTAAAATTTTTCATTTGATGTTTTATTTTTGACGTTTCTTATTCACTCATCTTTATGACATTTTTAAATTGATTAAAAAGTTAAAATATATTGATGAATTACAATTTTATCAATAAGTAAATAAATAGATAAATAAATGAACAGATGAATAAATTATTTATTTATTTATGATTTTATGTGCATTTCTATTTATTTATTTATTTATTTATTTATTTATTTATTTATTTATTTATTTATTTATTTATTTATTTATTTATTGTTCAGCCAGATCACTGATTTTACTGTGATAGTACATCAATTGCATTATTTACAAACATGCATAAATTCTAAAGGAAATGTTTATTTTTTGTTTAAATGAATAACAACTTCTGCTGCAACTTTCAACACAGTACTTCATATGCAATACATTTTATAGCAGCAATATGATCATGACATATAAAGGGTGCCTATTGTACTGATTTTGTGAGAAAAAAAATGATAAGAAAAGAAAACCGCTATTTCTATATAAGATAAATAAGCCAAATCTGTCTCATCATTAATTGACTTACTACACAGTCAGTTGTTGTGCGGTAGGGATGAGGTAGTGGTTTATTGGGTATGATTGATTATTGACGGAACAAAAGGCTCATTGTGAGGGGGCTGTGAGAGACCATGATGGCGTGACAGAGTTTTTGTCAATACGGTGACTTTCATAAAGGTGGAATGATAATAAGTGTGTATTAGCACAGGGGATGGGGGGGGGGGGGGCTGGGAGGGGGGCAGGGAGAGGTAATATTAATTAAAAATAAATCAAGTTTATTCAATCATTGTGTATAAAATTGTATTATGAAATGCACATAAAACGGAAATTGTTTTACCATCTGGGTTGTAAGGAAGATGAAAAAATAATAGAAATAAAAGAATACCAGCAGAAATTAAAATAAAGGATAAGAGTCATTGCTAAAATTACAATGTTTTGCTATTAAAAAGAGATGTAACGGTTGGGTAAAAGCTTTTGGATAAAAATGTTTGCTTTTTCTAGATACAGGTGTTGCCATTTTCAATTGTATGGGTGTACTTGTAAGAGTTAGATAAAAATGCTGGTGAATTGTTTGTATTTATTTATTTTATTGAGCTGAAATTGAACTAGTAGAGCAAGAAAGCTACTGATTCAGAAAGAAGTTTTATGAAGTGTTAGCATCTTGTATTATCTTTATTTATTTATTTATTTATTTATTTATTTATTTATTTATTTATTTATTTATTTATTTATATAAATTATTAGCATCTTGTACTATATTTATTTATTTATTTATTTATTTATTTATTTATTTATTTATTCTTTAATAATATGAACAAAAAGTACCACAAATTTTTCCACAGCATTAAAGTTCACCTGTCAGCTCTGATCTCTTGACTATTGGCAAGGACATCCATCTCCTTTGATAATGTCACACAAATTGCAGCGTCATGTCACTTGGTGTGACACTGTGTGAATTGGCGGCAGTGTCGGGCTGATGTGAACCTGGGATTACCCCTTGTCCTACTCCTTTCCTATTACCTAAGTTTCGTACATGGCCTTTTTACCCCCCCTTACTTTGTCTACTGTGACCTCTCCTTGTCGTCTAACAAGTGACATTTGCTATATTAGATGTAGCAAGCTATCATTTGGGAGCTTTTTTCATTGAATCTCAACTGAGTGTGGCTTTAACCAAGTCAATGCCTTTGGTTTATTGGTTGTAATGATCACTTTTATGGGAGTGAAGCAATTTAAAGAACAAAGACCAGTGGCAGTTCATAGGCTTTGAGGTGGCTTTGGATGAGGTCAGATATGGTATATTATTATTGTTTTTTTATTACTGCAGGGGTGTTTTATTTGTGTTTATACTTTTTAAATGGTATGTGAGAAGGTATTCAGTATAAAATACATTACTTTTAGAGAACATGAAAATGACAGAAATATGTCAAGCAGGCAGATATACTCTGCTTTCCTCTTTACTCTTTATTTACCTTTATAATTTTTTAAAAAATGAATTTTAATTTTATTTATAGTGTAAAAGTAAGTTAAAAAATGTACCAGTAAAAAACAGGTTGAAGCCAAAGCTAATATGTAGATCACCTTAACCCTGGGTTTGTTGTCACAAAGCATCTGCTTTTCACAGGTAAATTATTGAAAGCCTCTTAAGTACAATTTCAATATCATCAATTAACCCCCCTTCCTGGGTGTCCTGTGTATTACTCGTTCTCCCAAACCTGTCTGGCAGGTTAAGTCTCAGATCTGGGAACTGATACAGACTCAACGATGGACCTAATCACAGACTTAATGACGGAGTTCCCCAAAGTTGATCAGATCTCTAGATTACAATCCAGGTGACAGAATGGGTGAGTTAGTTTGTGGATAATCCCTCAGCTCTACCTCTGTGTGTTTGTCTCACCTGGCTTTCAGTAAGACAGGAAGATGTAAATGGGCTGGACTCGTCTTAATTTTATCAATTTGGGAACAGCAGGGGGGTTGGGGAGGAGGAGGTGCCACCTGAGTTTTCTGTCTTAAATCTCAACCTCTTCTTTCTTCTAAGTAGAATGTTGTAACACACTGTTTTTAGCAGCTGGATTGGCTTATTGTCTTTCTTCACTTTTCCCCACTTTGATGCATTTCATAATTATCAGAAAAACATGACATTTTTTCCCTCTTTTTCTCCAGATTATCATATAAGGCATGCGCAGCATTATATCATGTGTTTGGGCATAAAGACAACCTCTCTCTCTCTCTCTCTCTCTCTCTCTCTGATTTTATTCTTGCAATACTGAAACAAAGTGAATAAGCAAACATACCGCAACAACAACATAAACATGTTTTTGTTACCTCCCCTCCAATCAAAACTCAAAATATAAAAATATATATATTGAATTGCCTAAGGTATGATTGTACATTTAACAAGAAACTTGGACTGATGCCCTTATTTAAAAAAAAAAAATGTGACACTTAAACATACGTGTTAATTACCACAGGAAAGGAGCAATTTGAATTTCATTTGAATTTCATTAATTAGCAAAATAAGTGTAAGTAATAGTAAACTTCCTGTCTCATTCTGTTGAAAAAAATAAACAGGATATACCTGTATCAACAGCTATAATTATGCTAATTGGAATGTTGGCATACTGGGGAAAGGTGAGTAGTGATTTTCCAGATTATCCAGATTAGAAACTTGATTAGGAGGGTGTTGATGATAAAGATGCCATTTCTGAAAATTCAGTTAATTGAATTGATCCATGGTGTTTGAAATACAATTTTATAAATCAGAAAAAAGTATTTACAAGTTGGGATAAATAAACAATATTTTACCCCTTGGCTAAAACAGAAATATTTCAAAAGTTCAAAAAAAAGGTTTATTGAAGTTGTCAACTTCAATTGAAGTTCATCCTTATTGCTGTGCAGAAGGAGGTGGCTCTGTTACCTGGAGTTTAGAATGATATATTTAGTATATTGAACTTAACCATATGCTTTGGAAGAGAGCTTTGTAGGTGACTGATTACCGTGTTACAAAAGTCTACAACTTTCTGATGAGTTAGTGACAGACTTAATTGATGTTTTTCATTCCAAAATCTTTATTTAATTGCTTGTCAGGAAGTTCAGGTGTCATTGTCTTTAGTTTAAATACTTGGAGGACACCTGGGCCTTCTGTTGATTTATTTATAACATGAGACTCAAGTGGCAGATTCGGTGTTATTGTTTTGATTATTTACACAACAATGGCCATATGACCAATCTGTTGATTATGCTCATTTTTCAGGTAGGGTCTTCGCCGACTATTAATGCTTTGTTCAGAGATGACCAATGTTACAGATTTGTTTGTCACACTGGTTTACTGATATCACATTAGATGACGTAACACTTTGTGTGCAGATGAGCATGTTACTGATTTGTTTGGCATGCAATTTTTAACTACTTATCTCCTCATCATTATACAGATGCCAGGGCCTAAATGTAAGCTTGTGTTTTGTGATCTACTGCATGCTTTTATTGACAAGTAAACATAATCATCATAATTATGCATTATCAGGGCCACAAGGAGTTGGGTAAGGGCCCTGGTGCTGCAGATGGACAGTGACAGGTAGCTAGATGATTTACCTGGATTAGTGGGAAGGGGACACCCTCTTGCACAAAGTGTGAGTGAAAAATCTTCTGGGGTTAAACAAAAGACACTGGAATGTAAACTCTTAGCACAGAAAAAAATCTATGGCCTTGGAAAAGGGATGTGTAAAATTAAGTTGTGAATAGATTTTTCACATTTGGAAATGTACAGAATTAAAAAAAATGCTGTGATACAAAAAAAGCCATTTTTGATAGGCAGATTGAAACACACATGAAATAGGCAATAAAATAACGCATGAGAAGGAACAAACAGTACAATAAAAATATCTTATCAAGCCATTGTGCTTCTATTCAGTTTCAAGAAAACTCGGGGTTAAAAACCCAAAACCATATTATAACTCTAATATAATGTGTTCAGGTCCCCTCTGTGGAAGAGGATAATAGATACAAGATAACTCCCAGATGTTGGACAAGGTATTTAAGATCAAAGAGATATGGGAACAAAACTCTAACCACCCACCTCCAGCAGGGGGGGAGGGGGAGGATGGGGTCTTGCTAACAATAGGAGGAATTCCCCAGCTCAGGTACATAATAGGTATAATATCCTGGTCAGTGGAAAATGACCAGTGTCCTGGGGAGGACTTAATCTGCCTATTGGACAGCAAGGGGATGAAGGTAGTGGCCTTAATTACATTGTTGGTGTAATTATTGGACTTGTGCTGAAGAAGTGGCATTGTTGTGTTTTGATTGTGGCTGGAGACTGGTTGATTAGAAGACACTGCGTTTTATATTGAGGGCTCAGAACCAGTGGATGTCTTCAGAGTGAGAGGATGAACAGTTCAGTTCTCTGTTAGGTTCTTAAGGATTCTGCTTCATAGATTACTAGGTTGGACTGAACATTCAGGAATTGATAAGGTGAGTTTTTGTCAGGGATTGTACTGGACAGACATAGAAAGATGGATTGGTGTATATATATCTATTTATTTGAATACTGACGAAGAAAAAAGATAAGTGTGAAATTATTTTAACAAGAGTCAAATATGGAAAATACTTTTAAAAAATCTTGTTGGGGTGTTTTAGTGTTTTCATACACTGAAATATTTTAAATATTTTCATGACACAAAAAATAATTATATGACTTATATGTCCAGTAGCGACAGTAGTTTTTAAGATTGACTGCGATTTCCCATCATCTTCAAGTAGATAGTTATATAGGATGTGAACCTTTGCTGGTGATTGATAATAAGTAGACTAACGTACAAATTCAAAACACCAGTAGAAATCCATAAGATTTTGTCCCTTGCATGCATGTCTTCATTTATCGTCATTTTGATGAGATAGGGTCAAATTGATAGTTGAATTTTATGCTGTATAATGGTAAGAAATGTAGGTTTTGCAGGGAAGTTATCTGTTCTTTGTCAATTAAGATGAGTGATCAGTGCTTGTAGTCAGTGTATCATGATTTACATAGTGAAAGAGGGTTGTGTTCATAGGGTTAATGTCCAGGAAAAATAGTAAATTTAATAGTCACCTTTAAGAAGTACAAGTTTTTGAAAGTTGAAATAAATCTGAAAAATGAAAGGAAATATCCATAGGTGGTACTGCCAAACCCAATGTAAGGGGAAAGATATATTTAAAGACCACATATGAAAAATATACTTCAATTGTGAAAAAAAAAAAATGTTAAATTTTTGTGTTTCTCAACTTGTATGTAAATGTTAAGATTCACTGCCAAAGGTACTGGGCATACCTTTTCTTATTGAAGTCCACTAAAAATGAGTTGTCCCTGGTACAAAATGAAGAGTTTTAACATGGTGACCTATGACTGAACCAGAGAATGACACGAGCCTATCATTTACCTGGGGAATACATAGCTCACCTAAAGTGTAGACAGGTCATTTTTTCACAAAACAATAGGATGGGTTTTACTTAAGTGTTGTAAGCTGAATCTTCTTGTGTTGATGTGTGTTTACAGTGAAGATAGGCCAGTTTAAACCAAGCTTGACACATCTATTTTGCAGTCTGTGTGGCTATTGTAAAGATGTACATTGTAAATGTTTTATATAATTAAAAAATAAAGAATTTTGCTTTATAACTAAAACAGGTGGCTATAAGCACCTGGGTCTCATTTGTTTAGTCAGCTTTGTCAAAATTATGATTAAAACTCAAACAGCAATATAAGGACATATATAGGATTGTTTCACTGGAGTTACCAATACAATAGAATACCTGCAAATTCATATCAACCAATCATGTAGGTAAACCAGTCAAGCTGTTAAGGAGGTCAAGGATGGCATTTTGTCCAGGTGATAAGGATGCAAATGACTTAATCTGTTGTTAATCAATGATCAGGCAATTAACTTGATGACATCCCCATTAAAGGGCAGTGTCAAACAGACAGGTGACACATGTCAGTCATTATCTGGACACCTGACAGTTTTACTGGGGACAGCTTGAATATCTGATGAACCCTATAAAAGAGAACACTTCTCTGAGATCTGGTCATTACCAGCTCAGCAGTGGAGAAGTAAGGGTCACAGAGACAGCTCTCTATGTTTTAATGTGTATTGAATTATAATGTGTGTTGCCTTGCAGGTGGTACTTGGATCTAGACTGAGACTTTCAGATAATACAAGCCATATTACTTTTTAAGTGTTTCAGACTCCATTAGGCAACAGGAATTGTGCAAAGTCCCATTATTTTTGGAATTATTTTTGTTTTCTTTTTTTTTTTATAATGAATTTTTAATTGATTTTTAACAATGTTTTATGATTTCAGGTGCTATTCAGATCAAGAACTGGAAGCCTCTGGCGTTTGATACTATAACTGAGAACAAGGAGGCCACCATAGACCAGATTCTGGGGGAACTGACCAACATAGCCACACTGAGGATTAAAATCTCAAGGTAGGAACAGTACTACAGTACAGTGTTATCTGTGGATAGGGATAGGTTTTTTTGTACCAGAGACTAAAGGAAACTTTTTTTTCACCCAAAACTGTAGGATGTGAAAAGTGAGGTACCATTTAAAAGGAAATACTGGCAACTTGAGTATGTAGGCTGTCAGAATCACATGACTCAATTTACCAACTAAAGATTATTGCTTGAAGTTGTTTTCTCAGTCCCTCTCCAACGGGTTGCCTGCTTAAGAAACCAAAAGTTTCCCCTTGTAATTGTTTCACCACAAGACACTGAAAAACTTTTTAAGTCAAAGAAAAAAGAGTGGTATCTTTTACTTCAAGCCATAAGCATTTGTGATAAATTCATGCTTTTTGCAAATAGTAATGGTGTCAAGTGGGTTAAACTTGGTTAATTACCCCCTTCTAGTGCCAACTATGGTAATGAATGACACTGGGATATCTTGTTAATAATCTGAATATTTAGATTTTTTTCCTTTCTGTAACATGATAGGATGTTTTTTTTTCTTTCTGAGATTAATTTTGGTTAATGGTGATTTCAATCAAAAGCAATCATTTATACCATCAAGTTGGTGCTCTTCATATCTTGACGTGTGATCCTACCCTCCCGATTGTAACATGCTTGAAATATAAAATTGTGTATCAAGGCAATTACTGGTTTGATGAATATTTACTATTGGACCACATTTATCCTACTATCATCGTCAACTGAAGCAACATTGCACGATTCAGGAGAGTAAGATGCTTTATCCGGTCGGCCATTTTGAGTTCCCTTCCTACTTTCAGTACTGACAACGCCCCGTGTAACTCGTCCTCTTCCTCGCCCTCCTCCTCCTCGTCATCAACATCATCACCAGACATCAAGGACAAGCTGCTCCGGTTGTTGTTGTCATACTCTCAGGAATTGCTGCTGTCTTCTGGATGTCCACTTGATAAGGTAGACTACTTCAGAAATTTTTTTATTTTGTTGCATTCATATCAATCAGGTGTCAGTTTCTGATGTATTTGATGAGATCAGACACTGTTTAATAAACTTGTAAGGATTCTTAATTTTTAAAATCTTAGTGCGCAGCCATTGCATATATATATATATCAATGTGATACTGTTGAATACCTGCACATAACAAAGAATGACACGACACAACTCAAGACAGATAAATTTTGAAGAAATATTAGGCAAAAACTTGCATTTTTTTGAGTTAAAATTGTTTAGAGAAATGTGTTATGCTAGCCCTACACTCCAGAGTTTATTTAATTCCTTTTTTTTTAAACCTCATATTTGTTTTTCTGTCAATCACAGAGATTTTACCTTGACATTGCAGGACATCCTGTCACAGATTTCTCAGGGACAGATCATTACGGACTCCGTCATCTCTCCCACCATGAAGGAGGACTTCTATAGATGGTATCAAGACCAGCTTCAGAGCAGGGCTTTCTCTGTCCTGGCATCGCTGAACCAAGACGACAAGGAATCTCAGAGAAAAACCATGATGTTTCTCCAGCAGCAAGTGCCCTCAGCAGGCGGCGCCACGGAACAGCCACTAGGTGTCTCCACTGTACAGACAAGAGGGACTTATCTTCCCCCACACCCATCCATGACCCAAGCCCAGATTGGGGAGCCAAACCAGCAAGTGTCTTTCCCACCCAATAACAGCCATCATCACCTCTTACTTCACAGGTCACCACCAGCTGGCAGCACTGCAGATGACGCCCAAGATGTGACCTCCCCCAGTTCTGTTGTTGGGAGTGCCGGAAAATCGCGCCCAAGGATGCGAGTGAACTTTGACCCACACTACGAAGTTCCCAGGCTTCTGTACTGGTTTAATATCAATGATCACCCAAATCGTACTCAGATGGAGGCTTACGTGGCTAAACTCAATTCTCTCCCTACGAGATATGGAAAAAGACCCCTTGACGTCACCAACATTATGTACTGGTTCAAGAATCTGCGAGCTGCGCGGCGTAGGATTGCACGTACAGAAGATAGCCTCAATGCACTCAGTGACTCCAATGACAAACTCAACTACAACTCAAAAGAGCACCTCAGGTGTCTCCCTCCTCAGATGGGTTCTACAGAAAGATTTTCTCCGTCTCATCCCAGTGCAGTCCATCCACTCTCTGTTACCTCACGACCAGTCCACCTAGGAAGAACCTCGCCTCAGCAGGTCACCCAACCCATGGGTCTCTCCCACTCCATTGCCTCCATAGTAAACAGTCCCAAGGACGAAAAGCTTGGCTCGCAGCCTTCAGAAGTCAAGTCCAATTCTCCCAGGTTGGAGAACAGTCACGTGTCCAATTCTAGTCACGAAGAAGATGATGATGAGGAAATAGATGTTGAAGATGATAGTGAGGATGAAAGTCCACTGCGTATTGTGATTGACCCAAACGAGGATATGCTTGATGATGAATCTGTAAAAACTGACTCAACTTGTCTTGAATCTTCAAACAATAAAGGTGCTCCCTCCGTTGAGGAAAAAACTGTGACAGCCCATGATCAACACACATCCAACAATCACTGTCAAGGCAAAATAAGTGATGCTGTGGAGAAAAACTATAATTCCCAACCAATTGAAGTAGAAGTGGCAAGCTCAGCGGAACCTCAGGAAGAACCAGTTGACTTCTCTTTGACAAAACGTAGCTCGGGGGACAGGATCCCACGGGCAGCCAGTGTATACAGCTCTAGTAACTCGCGCCCAAGTTCTGTTGCCTCCAGTGTGGGGAGCGGGTCTTTGTCATATGAGCCTCAGCCTGAACCAGCTCACAAGAAAATCAAAATGGAGGATGGCACATCTTGGAGTGCACATGGAGGCCTACCTCGCCACCAGTTCCCAAGGTCATTCTCAAGGTCAAGTTCAAGGTCTCCTACTGGGTCAAGTTCAAGGTCAGCTTCCCCATTGGAGAATGTTAAAGGGGTCACCTCTTCAACCAGCCCTTCAGTCACTGGAGTATTTGGACTTAATGGACAGATCAAACAGGAGACAGTAAAGGATTGCAATGCTGGGTTATACCCCCCTAGTTCTGCACAGTCCCCCTTGGCCCCAGGGTATCAGGGTGTTCCACCCCCTCTGTTTCCGAATGGTAAGCTACCACGTGGTATGTTTGGTGGTGCTCAGATTCCATCTCCTCTGACCCTGAGCTCACTCCAGCAGCACCAGCAACAGCAGGCAGTACTGCCACCTATTGGTTTCAATCCATACTTCAACCCTTACTTCATGCAGGCTCAACAGAGTGGTGGAATGGGCAACGGATTGCTGATGATACAGCCCAAGTCTGGTTCCTCGTCACCGACAACTTCTCCTTTTGCCACGTCACCAGGAAGTGGACACGGTCCGAGCTACGCCAGATCTGACCCTGATCATGAAATTACCACCTCTCCAACAGTGACCATCGAGAAGAGACAACGCACAAGGGTCTTCATTGATCCCATCACTGAAATCCCCAGACTTGAGTCCTGGTTCCTCTTGGACACGCATCCCTCTATGTACGAGATGGAGAAGTACTGTGACATTCTGAACTCTTCTGAGTATCGACAGAAATTTCCCAAATTGAATGTGCGCAATGTTCAGTTGTGGTTCAAGAATCACCGTGCCAAAGTGAAGCGTTTGAAGGGTGCTGACGTGAGAATCGCCATGGCCTACGAGATGGCGGAAGCTAAGATGATGTGCTAGTCCTTTGAGACAAGAATACTGTGACAGTTAGTGGTAAAATAAGTCAGACCAATGGTAATATGTAATTAAAATAAGCAATATTCTATATGTATGTTAACAAATGAAGAGGTTATATTTATAATATAAGTTGAGACCAATCAAGTGTATGAGGGCCAAAATGTAGAACTAACATATTGAGGTGTGATATTATTATGAGGACGATAAATGCTGTATTTCCTCATTTGTATAGCTTATTGACAATGTTTTCAGTGCTTTCTGCAGAAGAATACAGGGATGAAAAGAGAAACTAGAAGTTTCTCAAAGTTTTTATCATAGACCAACCATTGAAAGAATATTTATTGATTTATTTATTTATTTATTTATTTATTTATTTATTTTCATTCAAAACTGACAGCAATATAGTAGTTAGCTTATGACGTAAGTGGACCCAGTCCACACACTAGTTTATAGTTTAGCATGAAGTAAAGTGTAGAACTTAGATGTTTGATAAAGATGACTAGAGATGTTGTCTGTTGAGAAGTTGTCATGTGATATTAGCTTGATGGAGTATAACATGTATATTTGTACATTATTTGGAAAACTTGTGTACTAAGTAGTTAGTAGATATACACTTTGATTTACATCTCACAGTTTATAGATACGTTAGGCTGTTATTAAATAACCCAAAGTCTAGTCTGGTAGATGCACACAGTAAATTTTCATTTCATTAAGTTTCCAAGAGATATTTCTAGATATGCTAGACTGTTATTAAATAACCCAATCAGTGTCTAGTTTATGCTCTCTGAGGTGACTGAGAAGACCATTCTCCTTTGCTATTATGCCATTGTGTAACATATCTTTACAGTATTTTGTTCCCATTTCAATATTTTCTGTAGTGGATGAGTACTGTGGTGCTTACCGGAATGTAAATATATTTTTTTTGCCATTATACTTAAGGTAGTATAAGGAAATGTGGCCTGTGATGAGAAAATGTGGTGATGTGAGTTGATATTAGCTGTTTCTTCAACTAGCTTGACTCAATAGGATTCAGATTTAAATGTTTTTAATTGTAGTATTAATTCATAAGCAGTTTGTGTTAATTTTGACATCATGATATTCTAAGTACTTAATAAGACAAAGCTCCTTATTTTCATACTTTGCTAACTGCCAGTGATTTTTTAATCTAACAGATAGACCATGGTGGCATATTGTAATTGTTTGACAAGTAAAAAAGACTTCTTTCTTTCTTTTCCTTATTCTGGATATTGTATTTTTCATCAGGGTTTCGCAAACACTAGTCATTATTTTTGTGTTTTTGAGCAAAAAGTCAAAATATTACCCAACACATGTCATGGTGCATTAAATGATTCTATTATATTGAACTTAATAAATATATTTTGTGTGTATGTATATTTGATAGCCATAATAAAGCCATATTTTGTGGTACAGGGTATTTTTGTATAACAATCGATGGAATAAAGATCTTTACATTTTACTTCTTTGTTTGTAATTTTATGCACATTTTATCAAACTTGAGAGGAAGTCTTAACAATTATAAAAATATTTATTGATAATTTGATGTCAGGTCAGCCGGTCCAAATTGAGCAAACGCTGAACAAAATACTTGATTTACTGAAAAAAATTATGGTATTGACTCAATCTTCTCAATGGGTAAAACTGAATTTTACAGATACTGTATTTTTCAAGCCATCATTCTTAAAATAAGAGCATTCCTATTGAGTGGTTGCAACAAAATTAAAAAGCAGACTACCTTGTAGTTCTATTCCATGCATTAAAAGCACTACAAATGCTATTCAAAAATATAATTTTTATGATTTTGAAATCTTGATGTATCTGAAAGCTTGATATTTTTTGCCCATTCAAAAGATAAAGACATTACCGTAATTGATGACCCCAGCATGTCATGATCATGTCCACCCTGATAATACAGAGCACAGAGGTAGAGTGGGTCTTGAATCAGGTGTCCATATACAACACTTTAAACAGATTCAATATCCAAACCAATTTCAAATTAAGTTGATAACCTGTATTTTATGATAAAGTGCTGAGCATATAGAAGCAGTATCCAACAGTGGATATTTAAAAAGTATGTTGCAGTAAACACAGGAAGCAGTGACCAATAGGAAGTTATATTTAAAAAAAAAAATATATATATATATATATATATATATATATATATATATATATATATATATATATATATATATATATTAATTGTCCTACAGTAAGGGCATAATTTGAAGTTGCTCAGTCACAGACTATCATGATCCACACAATTCTGGAATGTTCATCATCTGCCATATTGCCAAAATGTACCTGAAAGCCCTGTGGCTTGTCATTAATTTTTGATTCACTCTCCCAATGCAGACAAGAGTCTGGTGAATGTAACTTGTGAAAATTTTTTCCTCTGTCCATATTCCATTACTGCCCAGTGTTTGACAAACTACCCACATATCGAAGACATTCAATGTTTCTGGACTACATTATTCTTATATATATATATTACCTCCTCATTACAAGTGCCAAGCATTTTGTTTAACATGCAATATTTTTTTTCTTGTCAAACACAGTCTCACAGTGCAACAAAAGTATCAACATTTGTAAAGAAAAAGCAAAAAATTTTATAAAAAAGAAGTGAAAAATATTGCCTGGATGCTTAAGATTTATATTCTAATTAACCCAAGCAAGTAAAAATGTTAATCTGACTTTTGATTATCAGTGAATTTTCTCTGGTGATAGGGGGGCACTGAAATGGTTTTATGTAACATTTTTTCATAATGATGTCACCAATTGGGGAATTGTAAATAGGTTGAAAGCCTATAAAGAAGCATTGGACAGTGTGATTATGCTTTTATGGATAATTGTTTTACATATATTATTATTATTATTTATTCATTTATTCATTCATTCTTTTATTCATCCATCCACCTATCTGTTTATTCATTCATTCATCCATCATACCTGTTTATTTACGTATTCTTTCTTTCTTTCTTTCTTTCTTTTTTCTATATTCATTCATTAATTTATTTTTTTATTCATTTGTTTCTTTCTTTCTTTCTTTATCCATCTGTTTATGTATTTATTTATTATCTGCAGGGGTTCCCCTCTCTCCTCCAGAGCAGTGTGGACAAGCCAGCTGGTGAAGAGGATGGTGCTCGACTTACTGAAGGAGATGAACCAGCCAACTCTGGCCAAACTCTCAGGGCTCTCACAGGTAAAATAATAATAAAATAAAAGGAAAGAAATGGATTCAAATCCTGTGTGATTAAATCAGTCCTCCCCAAGTGTAAAAATGCCATATCGGATCTTCTTGTGGAGGATACATCATACATGTTAAAATTTATAGTTTGACATTGTTTTTGTTTGCAAATGAAGTGGATGCAAACAAAAGGGAAAGATTATGATGACTATTTTCAGAAAAGTGATTCTTGTATGAATTCCATAGCTGACAGGAATAAGAAGTTTTTTTACAAAAATACTTCTAAGACATGTGACTTTGATAATTAATTGCATGCTTTGGAACTCATCCTCAATCATTCATCCACATCTTTAAATTATTAGATATATTTGTTATTTTTATTTAAACTGAGTTAAAATGAAAACTAACATTCACTGTCAGCATTAAAGGGAAATGATGGAGGCATGCTGATAATGAAAGTTTCAATATTATTCCTGTGTAGCTCAGGGTAACTTTAAGTGACCCTCGTAAACTGAAAAAAGTATGTGTTTGTAAACTCCATCCAGTGTGTTCCACATAAATAAGACGGTTCTCTCCATTTCAGTCCATGATCAGCAACATAGCAAATGACAAATACAAGGCAATAATCACCTCCGAGACCTGTAAGGAGTTTGGGGAGTGGTATATCAAGTACAAGACTGAGGAGAGAGGTAAAGACCTAAATTTTAAGCTTTTTATTGATTTCCTAAACTGATTTTCAATTGTAAACACTTGTAAGGAATTAACATTGATAAAATGAACTTGTTCTAATTTCTATTTATTAAAAAAAATAATAAAATAAAATCAAATCAGCTGGTAGGGTCTGCAATAGAAAAATGTTAAAAGTAACTGCTTCTTAACATTTTTTTTAACATCTTTATTCTCAAGAAGGTTAAATATTGTTGCAGTATAATTGAAGGTGGCAATTCGCCTAGGCATTACATGCTCACCTTAAATATGGTCAGATGAACCACAAGTTACTTATTTCCTTGTAAATTATCACCGTATTTGTAAATAAGACACTCAGTGAAATCAAGACTGAAAATATATGTGGGGATTGTATTATACTTGTTGTTATTTTTACTTACAACTTGCAGTAAAATCTTTTGCAAGTCCAGAAAAAGGAGGAAATGTCACACCATCATCACGACTCACCTTTCACCCTAAGTATGAGCTCCCCCTACTGAGAGGCTGGTTCCAGAAGACAAAGACCCCCAGCGAACCTCTACTCATACATTATGTTAATGAGCTGAACAGAGGTCATGTGAGGCAAGAAAGGCCAAAGGTCACACTCGATAAACTCAAAATTTGGTGGAAAAATGAGAGACAGAAGGAGAGGAAGCAGAGAGTGAAAGAAAAGGAGGCGTTGAACCAAAGTAACTCAGGAGAGACTAGGGAGGAATCAACGGGTGGACCTCAACTGACTCAATTAGGCCTTGATGAAGGGCCATTTGAAAGGGTTTACCAGTATCCAGATACATGAGCTATGAAACTCAAACCTGCTATTCCTGTTCACCACTATGGCAGGAACAAATAAGACAGAGCCACTGTCAGTTTTCTTTTTTCTGCCATTGTGAGAAAAAAAGATGAGTCATGTTTATACCGATTTTTTTGCAAACTTACAGATAAGTGTCAAGTTAAAAAGTTGGCATACTTTGACCACTGGTCATAATTGATGGACACTGGACTCTTATAAGTACAGATGAGTAAGCTGGTTTAAATAACCTTCATTATCATGATTTAGATGATCTTAAATATCATGATTAAGATCATCATGGTTTAAAGTATTACTGAATCATTGATAGATGCAATTAAAATGCAATTAAGGCTGTCAAAAATCTATTAAGCTGTCCTAACACCAGAGCATATGGATGCATACATATACAAATTTGGAGGCTTGGAATGTAATCAGCTTGTGGATTTCTTCTGTTGCCTACTGTTGTACACCAATTACAAACAAATGGAAGGTCAGGTAAGGTCTGCTGTGTAGGAGGCTAACAATCAAAATATTTGTTCTGAAAAGCTATTTACTTGAAACAAGTGGTTTAACACTAAGATTGCAATCCAGTGAAGGTGTTTGAATATATTTTCTCTTATGTCAATTCATGTCCAGTGACAGTAAAGGGGTTCTGCAGCAAATTATCCCCAGATTTAATGGACTGAAACTGACATTTTCACCTATCATTGAGGAATGCTCCCAGGTGCTGTTAATTTATATGCCTTCCTAATATTTTCTCAGCCTACAACTACAATCACTATAAATCAGTAGAAATCAGTTATATATATTTGTACCATGAGGTTATACTGTTAAGCTGTTGATGGAAATGTTAGACAGGGATTTTTCTTTTTGTAGGATATTAAATCTACAAAATTAACCCAGTTTGCAATACGATTCTCACATATGGGGGTTATCAGAGGCAGTGTAAGGGTTTTCTCTTTCAAAAGACTTCTTGTAGATACGTTCATTAAGTTTTAATACATGATAGAAGTAGCTCTTTTTGTTCTGACACTGTTTAAAATAAAAAAAAGAAGTCGATCTTAATATTTTCAAGTGTGCACTTGTTTCAGGTCTTTGTTCTGAGTTACATATAGTTACATCTTTGTTCCATACATCTAAGTTGTTCCAGTGGTTTTATCTTTTAATGAGGTTTGACTTTTTAAGCCATTCCCTAAAATATACCTCCTGTCAAGAATCAAGCTCATTTTTCAGAAGTTTGAAATTCAAGTGGTTAATGTATTCTTTGTTGTTTAACTGTTCTTTGCTTTCCTGTTTTGTTCAATTATTGGATTTCTGAATAAATAACCAAAGCCATCATTTGGTTTGGTGTGTATCAAATTGTTTAATTACTATTCATGAATCGGCTTTTCACAAATTTAATCTCCCAAGTGTCTGGTTTATATAGTTATTATTAATAATAATAATAAAATAATCCACATTTCTAATTTAAGTATCTGACATTCCACCTCCAGAAAATATACTGGCTAAGAAAGACTTATTCAATCCAGCTTTTTTCTTTGGGTCCCCTTTGAGTTTCCTTTCTTTCTTTTTCTGTCTTAAAGCAACTGGACCTTTCAGTTGGCCCTCGCTGGTCTCGAGTTTTGATTTCTTGGAAAGGATTTCGTCCTCTGTGTCTTTTTGAGTGAATTCCCACTTCCTCACCTGTCCTTTCATCTTCTGTGCTTTTTCCAGGCGTTTAAATTTGTCACCCTTTTCAACATTCTGCACGTAAAAGTTGGCCTCCTTTTTCACTTGTGCAATCTCTGTCCTCATCCTCTGCTTGTGAACCTCCTTTTCATAAGCCAATCTTTCATTCAGATGAACCCACTTGAACTTGGGAAGATATTTAATGTTCCATATTTCATCATGCCACCTTGATCTTCTTTTTCCACCAATCTGAAATTAGTAAAGCCTTTCAATGGCCTAATTTTAAAAGATTTGCAGTTTAATAACCAGAGGACTAATTCAAATATATTCATTTTAAATAAATTGCTAAAATAAGCCAGTTTATATCAAGAACAGGCGTCAGGTACTCTAACACAGGTGAGTCATTATTTCCCAAGACAGGAATTTTCCCAGGATTGGGGGTACAGGCTGTCCAATATTACCACCTATAATTTCCTACAAAATTTCAGGGAGTACAAGTACGCCTAAAGCCACCATATTTCCAAAAAATCTGTCCGTTTTTGAAAATAGAGGTCATCTGGTGATGCTGGCAGCCGTCCAAATGACAGCTGGGTCCCATAACTCACATGCATCACACATTGCAACCGAGCGCAAGAATCTCGATTCCATAACTCGCCCATACTTGTTCCATATAATACATTGTAGCCTCTATGTGATATTGCTATTTGCCTTATGCGATGGTTCGCTGGGAAAAGCTTTGTCCCAAGGACAAGTATGTGACATGTGTGGAAGGGGCTTTACCTGTGTGTTGTTAAGAGAAAGTGCAACTCTCTTTGCAATCCTTTTGTCTGCAAACTCCAGCCATCCCTCGGTAAATAATCTGGCCTTTTTGCCTTTTGGGGTTCTCTCTGGAAAACAAAACAAAAGCCTGTGCATATAAATCTATGACTTCCTAAAATGAATTTCAGATATTTATATATCAAACAGACTGCAACAAGGAGTTTAAACAGAAACTCCTTGACTGCAATAACAAAAGCATCATGAAATATGACTGTATTTCAATCAATTACCAAACCATAAATATCTCCTTAAAAACTTATGTCAAAGTTTAAAAACACCTCTTTTTTAATTGCAACGAGTAAGATTAAGAGACAAGTAAACCTTGAGGCAAAATGCAGTGAGATTCTTACGGTCTGGTTGTAAGAAAATCCGTCCAATTTCCCCAAACTGTTCGAAAATTTGTCGCACTTTCTTTACACTCATGTACGGTGGTATTCTGCTAAAGTAGATAATTCCAGCCTCTCGTTCTTTCTTCTCCAATTTAGCCAGTTTCAATTTGTTTTCCACTTGTTCATCCACTTGCTCATTTAGGAGTAATTCTGGATCGTCGCACGTGTCGTCCATGTTTACTGAACGAGATCTCGAGTTACTTGTGCGAGATGTAGAAGTTTTGCTGCTTTTTTCTGCTGGTTCTAGGAATTGAAATGCCACAATAATTTCCTTGCGAGTTACTTATACCTGTAAAAATAAATCAAAACAATCATGCCTTAATTGATTCTGTTGATAGCATTAAATGAAGCAACTAGTTCAGATCATACATCATGTGACTGTTCAAAATGGAGGATGAATGTTTACACGTCGACTGCTGCATGCTTTTTTTGTCTATACGGGTACTTATGCAAAACGCATGATTTCCTATGTAACGAGTTATTTAGTCCTGGTAAAAACAAACCTTTTCCTCTTAAAATGGATGATCATCCCCTCAACCAGCGTCCCATAGCTTGTTGCGGACTGACGTGTTGCGATTTTATCACTCTTTGCAAGGGATTCCCCCTAGAAGATTCGGATCAAAGGTCAGTAGTACGTAGTATTTGCAGGCCCGGCAATTTCAGCGATAAAGGTCAAAATGAGAACTTTTTGATCCAGAAAACCCCGATCCTTGACGATATTATTCATGTCATGCTTGTTATGCATTTTACAAGTGGCGCATTTGACAGTTGAAAGCAAGTGGGGTAAACTGTACATATATTTTTCCACAACCAGTATACAAGAACTAATAGTAAATCATGAGCTCAAGTTTGACCTCGCCTTCTCAGCAACCGCCAAGTGTCCTGTGTGTAGGATTGACTTGTCTAGACCTCCTGTGTTACCTTCCACACTTTCCCAAGGAAGACACTGGCAATAGGTAGAATAGAAAAACATTCTTTTTAGTATGGTGTTGGTTAATTAATTAGCAGTACACTGCAGTGCATATATTTGATACGCTACATGTAGTTTATAGACATTAAAAGCACGTCTTTACATGTACAAGTATAGACAATTAAAGCACATGTCTCATTACAGGAAATTTCTTGAGTCATTGTCAGTTTATACAAATAAATAATTTTGTTTAAAAAAACAGAGATTGGACAAAACATACAATATACACTGTAGTATAAAATCCAGTTTTGAATATATATTTTCCTTTATAATTAGTTTAGTAACTTGGTTTGTATTTTAATTTATGCCCAACTTAGTAAAGGGGGAAATGCAACCTGGAAATCATGAACTTAGCAAGACCATAATTTGGCATTATATCCTAATCTAATTTTTATCGATATGTTAAAGATAGACACATGCTCACTTAGCCAGCATTATTATCAGGGCCTGAGTGCAGGATCTCAGGTTGTGGGATTAATGTAGGATTGTTGTTAATCAATAAATATGATAAATACAATATGGTTATATATATTATTTCAGATGTATTGATATGTACTGGCAGAGAGGGGGTAATGCATCCAACACCAGCACTGTGTTAGCTCTGTTAGGAGCCAGGACTGAATGTCTCTGCACCATAGCTAATACTAGGGAGAAAGAGTAAGTTGATTATAATCCTTGTTTCTCTCGGTTCTCTCTCTCTTTCTTTCTCTCTCTCTCTCTCTCTCTCTCTCTCTCTCTCTCTCAGACACACAAACACACAACAAAGTCAGGAATACGGGAATAAAGTTTGAATAAAAGTATTTTGCAGCTGTTGGAAGCTAGCCGTAGTAGAATTAAAATTTGTTTAGCAAAGCATTTGTGTAAAGTTAATTATGCTGAACTGAGTGAAAGCATAGGCTAAAGCAGACTACTGCAATTTTGGATTCTGATTTCAAATTTATCTCTAGCTGAACAGAACAATTCATTTACAAATGAAAATTTTCTGTCAAAAATAAAGAACAGAGATATCAGGAGATCATCAATTAATGCTTTTATTTTTTCCTTTTTTTTAGGTTTTTAAAAGAAGATTTTGCCAAATATGCTGTAAACATTGAGAACTGTGTCTACCTGGACGACTGCACCGCTCCAGTGTCTAACTGCATTATCAATGTACAAAATGGATCAAGAACCATCCTACACAGCAACAAGTACAGTAATTACTCAATCTTTTCTATGCAGTAAAAGCACCACAGAAATGCTTTATAGAAATATAGTTTTGTGATTATAAAATTATGTATCTGAAAGTTTGATAATTTTTGTCCATTGAAAACACCGAGTCATTACCATAGGAATTCATGGCATACTATACAGACAGGTTTAGTGGTGGTGGGGATTTGCCAACAATTTATTTGCCTTACGCCTGACTGTTTTGTGCAATTTGCATATTTTTTTCAAAAAAAAAATTTTTTTTCAAATTTTTTTGCTTGAATAATGGTATTTTACCTTCTAGGAGCTTGCCTGAGTTTTCCTACAAAGACTTCCAGAAGATTGATCTTAAAAAGCAAAAATACCAGTGGGTCCATTTTGAGGTAAAACTTTGAATAGAAAAGAAATAAAATAGTTTTTCTTTTCATCAGATTATTTATTATTCAGTAAAAAGTCATTAATAGTTTGTTTGTATTTATTACATGGTGATATATAAACTTTAATAGAGTGTCATCATCATCATCATTGCTCTTCGTCCCGCGTGGGACATAAGGCCACAGTCACTTCTTTCCATTTGGCCCTGTCTCTGGCTACGTGCTGGGCCTGTCCCCATGTAAGGTCCCCCTCCCTCAGCTCTGCCATTATTGTTCGGCGCCAGGTGGTCTTGGGCCTTCCTCTCTTTCTTTTTCCGGGTGGTGTCCATCTCAGAGCTACCTTTGGTACTCTGTTCTCGTCCATCCTAAGTACATGGCCGAGCCATTTAAATCGCCGTCGCTTGATCTGCCCTACAATACTCTGGCTCCCTGTCAGTATGTACAGGTCATGATTGGAGATCTTATTTGGCCAGAATATGCGGCAGATCCTGCGGAGACACCTGTTATGGAAGGACTCTACTCTGCTCATGTCAGACTTTGTAAATAGAGTGTGGTTATGGTAAAAACTTGAAAATTTCATCATTTAAATATTGATTAATATTTTTAATTGCATGAGTCTTACATGGCCATATTAGGTGATGAACCTTTCAAAAGTATCGAGAGGGCCATTTTCAAGTTTTACTGAATTTTCAAATTGAAAAAAAAATTCATCAACAGAGAATCGCCTTCCCACAATATTTCCAAGAATTACTACAATTTACGCAAGTCTGATGTGCCTCCTTCCTACCCAGGGTCGCCCCAATGTCCCAGATATTTCTAGTATGCTTCAAGCCATAGACAGCCATAATAAGGCACATCCAGATGAGAAAATAATTACTTCAGTGGAGCTAGAGAAGACCAGGATGGAAATAGGTGAGACAATTCTGGATTTGTTTGTCTTAAACAGGAAATTAAATAAGTTTTCCATAAATATGGCAATTTTTGGACAGGAGAAGAGCAGGATAGAAATTGGTGACATTAATTTAGCCTGTTAATCTTCAACAGCTAGTGAAAAATTATGTGACAGATAAGACAGGCATTTTGTTAAATATGACACTTATTGGCAGGCAGTGTGTTAGAAGTTTTGACATACAGAGAACATCTATACATTGTGTTAGATGTGACATGATAGCAATACATTCAGTGTGTTAGATGTGACATGATAGCAATACATTCAGTGTGTTAGATGTGACATGATAGCAATACATTCAGTGTGTTAGATGTGGCATATGATAGCAATGCAATCAGTGTGTTAGATGTGGCATATGATAGCAATGCAATCAGTGTGTTAGATGTGACATGGTAGCAATACATTCAGTGTGTTAGATGTGACATGGAAGCAATGCATTCAGTGTGTTAGATGTGACATGGTAGCAATACATTCAGTGTGTTAGATGTGACATATGATAGCAATGTATTCAGTGTATTAGATGTGGCATATGGTAGCAATACATTCAGTGTGTTAGATGTGACATGGTAGCAATGCACTCTGTGTTTTACAACATGACATATGATAACGATGGATTCAGTGTGTTATTTGTGATGCCTCTAATTTTGTACATGTTTAAATTAACTATTTTATTTTCTTCCAATGTTTCAGTACCTCTCTTAGATAAAGCAGATTATGTATTTGTGAGCAAGGAGCATGCTCAGATTCATGGTTACCAGTGTAAAGAAGACACTGTGGAGGGATTGGGCACAAAAATAAGAGACAGGTACAACACAAGGCCTCTCCACTACATCTCCTTCCTCCAACGTGTTCAACCCTCTCCTCACCCCCAACCCCTCTCTTCCAACCTCTCTCTCCTCCACCCCTCAAATCCAACCCCTTTCCAAATTTAAGTGACAGAATGTGCAATTAATCTTATATGGATTCACCTTATTTCATTCATTAACCATACTCTTGTTATTATTTGTGTGTACGTGTTTGGGAGGGGGACTTGTTTTTTGATTTCATAGATTACCCTACAATTCATTCATTTTCAAGTATAAATTTGCTAAATTACCTAAGTTAAATTGATTTTGTAAATTAATTGGTTATTTTTTCTTGTTCATCAGCTCAGTGATAATTTGTGCCTGGGGGGAGAGTGGCGCTTGTGCCAAACCTAAACATGGACCAATAGTGGCATCTCCAATTTTTCCACCAGAGGGCGGTGTGGTAGACACTCTAGGTGCTGGCGACTCATTCAACGCTGGCGTCATATTTGCCCTGAGTAGGGGGAAAATGTTACAAGAAGCTGTGTCATTTGGGTGCCTAGTTGCTGGAAAAAAGTGTGGATTTCGTGGATTTGAAGGTCTGAAAGGTTTTCCTCTTTGACCAAGTGACAGTTGGAGTGTTATTACTTTAAAAAATTGAGAAGAAAAGAAAACAAAGCTGTTGTTTAAAGAATAAAAACTTCAACCAAGGTAAGAAAAATGATTTTAAATGGTTTTGATTTAAAAAAAAAAAGTTCAACAGCGAAAGAACTGCCAGATGCCACTAGGTCAGTAACTTCAGTCAATACAAGTAAAGGATTGGTAAAAAAAAAATGACAGAGGAAAAAGGGAAATTAGTTCTTTTGCTTAAATGTGAGCTGACAATCCTTGTGTTACTATCCAGATATTTTACACTCATTATACCAAGCACTTGTCACACGTATATATATATATATATATGTAGTGTGTGTGTGTGCGTGTGCGTGTGCGTGTGCGTGTCATCTTAGCAATACACTGATACTAATTTGCAGGTGAATTAAATAACATTGATATCATTACTGCTTTTAATTAAGACCTCGATTAAGTGCCATATTATCTGAATATCTTATTTTAACTATTTTATTTTTTGGAGGGGGTGTCTTTAATTTAGACATTTGGTGGTAATCAGAAAACTACCAAATTTTATTTCATGGCAAGGTTTTCTTTTCCTTTCTGCAATAAGAATGGCAAATTTTATGTTGAAAATTTTGGCTGCCATTTTCTTGAATTTTATTAAAATAAAACAAATAGACCTTGTAATTCTGTGTCGTTATTACAAATGTAGTCTTTACATACTGTTCTGATAATTTGTAGTACAACTCATCACTTCACATCTGATTACTACACAAATACCAAGATTATATAAAAACATTCCTGTATTAAAGTGGTGCTTAAATGTAAATCAAAATCCATAAATTTTCCATATGAAATTAAATCTTAGGGTGCATTCACATCTAGAAGAGTCAAGGTCTAATAAGGCCGCGACCTAAATATGGCGGACCTACATGAAAGGGAAACCCCCTAATCCTCTAATGATCTCTCCGCCTCTCAAACGCCTCCCCATGTGTTGTCCCGGTTGAATTGAGCCGAGATTTAATTAGTGTGCCCCTGCAGGGACGACGTAGGGGGAGGCATGTGAGAGGCGGAGATTTGTTGCATGATTGAAAAAATAATTCTACGCAATATCATACACAATGAAGCATTGAAATGCTAATATAATCAAATAACACCAATTATACCATTATATAAAAATACCCAGTTTCAGGATTTTCAGTCTTCATTTTGATTATTTGTTCCATAAAGTCCCCGAGTAAAAAAAATACTTTATGAGTAAAAAAACGTTTCGTTTCATCATCTTATCTGTCTTCATTTTGATTATTTGTTCAAGTCACAGAAGTCAGATATATTACAGTCATTATACCAAAGACTTGCTCATGTTATGTATATATATATTTTTAATTACCAATATTATATCAAGACGGTTATATTTTCACCTCCATTTATTAGTCTTGGCAATACTTTGATGTTGGTTTGCAGGGTATTGCAAAAATGTTGAAAAATAATGGAACCAAAATGCAAGAGCCCTATTAACTGCCATTGGAACTTAAAATTTTTATTCAAGTTTTCGTTTTGTATTGTTGGGAGGTGGAAAGTGCCCTTAATTAATAGGCATATAGTCTAATGTGGTAATCAGAAACCTGCAAATTTTATGTGAGTTTTCTGGTGTTCAACAAGATTTCATAATAAATACGTTTTCTTTTAAATCTGAAATGAGTGGATGCACTAGGTGTGAAACACTTCTAATAAACTGCAAAATTTTAAGCCATATTTCAGATCAAATTTAGTATTAACATAATTTGAATTACAAGCCATGTCTACTCACCCTGAGCTTCAGAGATAACTTGACACGATGGAGATAGGCTATAGTGAAGAGGTTAGTGTCAAGTTATCTCTGAAGCTCAGGGTGTGTCTACTCTGAAAACTACACAATTTAAAACGTTAAAATAAGTTTTTTTAGCCATCAGATATATTGTTCTATAACTTCAACAACTCACAAACTTTTGAATTTAAATTGTGCTCTTTTTGATGCATTGTTATTGGTCGCCCCTGAAAATTTCTAGTCTTTAAGTAGAAAAAGTTTTCATGTTATCAATTAATCAAAAACACACCGGCACCTATCAGAAGTCACATAGGCTGACACAGCATTTTTTGACTGAAGATTTAATTTTTTTTTTTTTTTGACATGCCAAAACTAAAAAGGGTAGAGTCATGAAATTTCCAGCATTTATAAAAAAACAATTTATCTAAAATATTTAAAATTAATTGCAATATCTCCAAAACTGCTGAAGTTATTAAACTTTGAAATAAGTAATTTTTCTATTAAGTCACCTAATTGAGACATTTTTTTAAAATATGTGATATGGTTTTAAATTGTAAATAGATAAAAACAGATACAAAATCATACTTATAAATTTAAACAATAACATAGCAAGTTTGATTGAAAACGTGGACAGTATAAAAAATATCAAGGAAACTATAATTATAAAACTACAAGAGTACATCTATATAAACATTTATGAAGTAGAAATAATAAATAATGGTCTGTTCTGCTGTAAAATTTGTAAAATTAAAAAAAAATTAATGTATGCATAAGACATTAAAAAAAAAAAATTACATAAAATTTGAACTGAGTTATAAGACTAGTGCAATAATTAAGCAATGTTCTTGAGATGATACAAATCTTGCAAGCCCTAATCATTTATATTTGACAAAATGTATCAAGGTTTGTTACATAATTGTTTTGGTTCTGACAATTCTTAACGTAAAAACATCTTAGTCTCCTCTTGTCCATTGGTCTACTGTTATGGTTGCAAATCCACTGCAGGAGTTCAATAGTTAGGGACCATTCCCACAGATATTTGGATCGATCTATCTCCCTGGGGAGTCTCACTAAATTTTTGTCAACTTGACCAGCTTAAATGTCTGTCATGCCTAGTAAAGCTGTTTGGGGATAGTTATCTTTATCCCCTAGCTGATTGGGTAGGCGTGACAGACATTTAAACCGGTTATTTGATAGCAATTTAGTGAGACTCCCATGGGAGTTAGATCGATCTCTAGGCATGGGAACCCACTCTTAGAATGTGCTGTGGTGAATGCGGATAAAAAAATTGATGTAGTTCAGCTTCTCTCACTTTCAGTTTATTTGCACAATCAGAAAGGTTTTCATCTAGTAGTGCTTTACGTAAAGTAGAATATGGACGTTTGTCCATTTCTGCCTTCAAAATAACATTTAACAGTTTCCTGTTTGCCTCAGTCATTGGCCCATTAAATTGATCTTCTTCATAATGTTCTATCATCCCAGCGGCCACCAAATGGTTCCTCATCATTTCTGGGTTCATTGTACAAATCAAATAACGAAAACTACTTATAATTTTCAACTTCTCAAGCTTATATCGGCATGCTTCCTAAAAAGGAAAATTTAAATAACTTTGTCATAATTTAAAAATCATTAATGGTTGGTATAAATCAATAAAGCCATTGACATGCATTTGTTTTTCATATGTGGCAATGATTCCCCGTTTTGTGCCATCAAATCATTCCCCTGAAGAATTACCCAATGTGCTTTTCTTAAATACATCTAAAAAAATCCATTATGTTTTATCATGATAAATTACAAGAAGAATATAATACAGTGCAAACATTGATAAGTCATTATATTTTCATGCAAACTCAATGGGGAATAATTCAACTAATTACCTTCACTTGGTTGATGATGTCTCCTTCAAGAAGAGCTTCATTGCATAAATCCATGCATAAGAGATACAGGCGTCTCACATCTCCCTTTAACAACGTATTGAATATGACTTCCATGGTGACAACATAGGGGATGGGACAATTTGGTGGACCATTTAGATGTTTCAAAATACCTCCCCAAACATTGACCTTTTTAAATTCATCACTTAAAGAATCCCACAATTCACATGTAATGAACTGGCTGTCAGACTGAGCTGCATATTGTTGACCGTGTGCTGCACCATACTGAACTAGTGACCCCTCAAAGCTTTGTTCCAAAGAGATTTCAGGATTGACTGATCCAGAGACACTTTCTGCCAATTCTACAGTGTAAGGCAATTCCCTCCTAGAATCATGTTCTCCCTGTCTGACTTTTGGTCGAACATCTGGTGATTTTACTGCGGTCTGCAATGTCCCATTTGGCATCAACTGATAATGGGAGTTAATATGTTCTGACACTGAATCTCCTCTTCTTGTAAAGGATTCTTCCAGCTCTTTCCTTGTTGTTTCTTCATTTTGTGGTTTTCTTGGCCCTTCATATGGCAATTCTGAATTCCCATTCATTTCTCCATATTCCAAAGACTGTTCAAAAGCTTCTTTCCTTTGTGTATTTTCATCACGTTTGGCATTATGATTTGAAACTAAATTTCTGTATTCAGAATGATTACCATTTGGCAGTGCCTTTAAAGAATCACCAGCCATAAGGAGCTGAAAAATATTTCAATGCATTATGCAACAGTTGAAGAAAATTATAGCATTAAAAGAGACCAATTTTCAAAGTGAAAGGACATATAGACCTCTTCAGTCCATTCGCAGATTAGATCAAAATAACAGATTGTGCATGCAGCACCAAAAATACAAACAATATGTGATTTAATTTCATATCTTGATTTAAGACATATATCGGTAATAATTATGATACTCCACAACATCTTGCTGAAATTTTCTATGGACTAGTTTTGAAGCATACCCAATTTTTTGTGATTTAATTTTCCACACTATACTAGTATCGATTTGATCTCTAGGTTCGTTAAGTCAATTAGAGACATGGAGATTCAGCGCAAGAGAAACACTAAACAGATATACCAGAACAATTGAAAAATACAATTCTACGTGAAAAAGCTATAAAAGAATCAAGCTGGTGGTACTTATAAGAGTAACCAATTATACATGCAGATCTACCGTAAAAGGTACCTGTATAAAAAAAAGGGGGGCTCATACATTATCAATTTACCTCTTTAAGCATCTTTGTTATTACTATTTTTTTACAGGTATTATCGTCATTTTCCAGTTGAGCTTTGTATATCTTTATCTCACACTCAATGACACTGGGGCACTGGCCGTCAGCAGGCTCCAAACGAAATACTGCACGTGTATCTATATCTTCAACTAGATCCAAATAGCTGACTTCCTGGAATCAGCAAACAGTTCATTCACACACACACACATATATATAACACCTAGAATAGCTAGTTATTGTTATCATACCATTTAGCCCTTATCAAATTTGTGGTGGAATTTCCAAATGTACAAATACCAAGTTGTCAAACTGTTTCCACTTTTAGATCAATCACTTCAGAAGTCCTGCAGTTATAAAGTACTGGGCAGTAATACCACTTCAGAAATTCTACATTAACACATTTGCAGGATGGAAGACTGAAAAGATCTTTAAATTATTAGAATTATGTTATTTTCTACAATAATGATCACTACAGTAAAGAATTTAACACTGAAGTTATGTTCTTTACTACCTGAATATGATCTTCTTTTCTAGTTAATTTCCAACAGTTTTCAAATTCACCAATTTCCAGACAAAGTCCACTACATTCCTTGTGATGTTCACACAAGTATACAATGATACAGCGATAGTCAAGATACTTGAACTGCAATTTTGACATTTCTTTTTCAAGTTTCTGCAAGAAAAATAAATGCAAAAAAATGTAAAAAGCGACTGATAAACAACTGAGCCAGCAGAGGCTGTTAAATGTACAACACTGGATCTGTAGCACTCCATTAACATGACAAATGACGTATTAAAAAAATAATCCTTCATTTCTTATTCTATGTCTGTTAAAACATTAAAATATGACCAAATGTTGAGCAATTACATGAAGCAATTATGAATATACCTCTCTTTCATCTGGCAGATCTGCTATGCAGTGAACATTTAGATTAAGTTTTCGTCTTTCTACATCATACAATTGCCCATAGGCTTGCACCTGCATCTTCTTTTTGTTGCATGAGGTGCTGTGTTTGGTAAAATGGTGCAGGCCAATTATACACCTGTTGTGTAGGAACATAGAAAAATAATTGTCCTTCAGCAGTTTCCAGTCACAACATTCATCAAACCCCGTTTCTGAGCTCCAGATGTTTTTTTGGGTATTTAGTCCATGTACATCAGGAATGCAGTGACTGATGGTTAAGAAGATCATCTTTTTAAACATCAATCCATGGGGCTCACAAAATACCACAGGGGATGTTTGTGCCTGATCAGGACCAACTGGGAGCTTGTCTTGTTCTCTTCTGGTAATCCCCAGAGTTATCAATGTTTGGCTTTCTAAGGCTCCTGGTGGTACATACAAGGAAACCCCTGTTCCAGGGAGAGTCAAAATACCACCCTGCTCATCCACCCAGAACTGGTAATAGTATAGTTCACCAGCTATGTTGCTTTCATAGTCAAAACATGGAGGTGTTCCTGGAGTGCTCGTTCCTGAGAAGGAAAACAAAGAATTAGCTCTATCCTAAGTAATACTATGTAAATGTCCACAATGAGGCGCATTTTTCTATATCTTGGGATTATCGCCATTGTAACTATCGGTCATGTAGATTGGTAAAAACTCCACGGGGACTCTAGCTGAATGCAGTCAGATTAGCAGATTAAAACGCGTCCTCCTGGCATTGAGTAGAATACAGAAAAGTTGGTAATCATATATGACTAAGGGCGCATTCCAACAGATTTTAGATCGATCTATCCCCATGGGGAGTCTCACTAGATTACTGTCAGATAATCCGGCTTAAATGTCCGTCCAGCCTACTATAAGCTGTAAGGGGGTAATTAACTTTCGTGCCCGCTCGGCTGACAGCTATTTAGCAGGGAGTTAGGTCAATCTAGTGTGGATCGATCTAATTTCTGGGAATGTGGTCTAAGTTGGAAACAAGAGCGTATGCATCTGTTAATCTGATTTCATTCAGTGAGAGTCCTCGGAAGACCAGTAGTTTCATTGGGAATGAGTTGAGGATCCTTATTTACCTTTTCAACTTTTTCATTTAATTTTTTTAAACCATCAAAATAATAATTTCAAAGAACTCTGTTTGAAAATTACAAGTGCAGAGATGGGTTGAGCAGTGTTTCACAAAAAAAAAACAAAAAAAAACGACAAATGCTCT